GGGCCGGGGGCGAGGCGGGGCCTCTTACCCGGCCGCGCCCTCTGCCAGCCGAGGAGACCGACCGCCCGAAGCCGCAGCCGGCGGTGCCCCCGCGGCCCAGCGCAGACCTCATCCTGCACCGCTGCAGCGACAGCACGAAGCGGAAGCTGGCGTCCCGCGTCTGAGGCCGAGCTCCACCCTCGATGGCGCTCCGTGCCCTCCGCCGGGATCCCTGTCTCTATGTGATGAGAGCCTGAGGTCTGGTTACCTAAGGCACTCCGGGCCCCGCCCCACCTCGCTCTCCGCCACCCTCAATAAATGTTGCTTAGAGTGGACAGTGGCTCCGCAGAGACTCCAGGGGGTGCTGGGCTAGAAATCGGACAGGGCTCTGACCTCTGCTGGGCGGGGGGAGGGTGCGGGGAAGTTGCAGAAGCCGAGGTCCGGTTGCATACTGCCCTGGCCTTGGCCAAGATCAGGTTTGCACAAGGCCAAATGCAAAGGGAACTCGTGGCTCCCGCTGGCCGTTTGTTTGGTCAGCCGTTTGCTAGAACTCTGGCTCCACCACAGAACAGCCCCGAAGAAGGGCTGGGCACAGTGCGCAGGGAGGGGAGTCACGGCAGTGAGTGACTTCGTGTGTGCGCCTTAGTTGACAAAACATTTGCACTTTAGGTAGAGGGAGGAGGCACCTGCTCAGTTAGCAAATATTCAGATGAACAGCTCCCTGCCACTGACCCCAGCATTGATGCTAGCCCATGTCCTCAAAGGCTTTGCTGGTGGGTCTTTCCCAAAATGCAAAGACTCTAAGGTGCACATTGGAGCTGCAAATCTTGCAGATCTTGGCCAAGGCCAGGGCACTATGCAATCGGACCTCGGCGTCTGCAACTTCCCCCACAACCCCCCAGCGGAGGTCACAGCCCTGTCCGAGTTTTTCATGAAGGCCATGGGTAGCATGAAGAGCTGCACCTGTGGGGAGTGGCTACCCGAGGTTAGACAAGGCTGCCACCCTTAGAGATCAGAGAAAATTAGCAAGGGGATAGGTGCTTCAAAAGAGAACAATTGACTATCAAACGATGGAGAGAGGCCTTGAGAAAACCACTGGGCCCTTAACTCCGTTTGCTTTTTGCAGACCCTTGTTTGCTGAAAAAGTCATACAAAGCTGTGGAATAATTAACCACAGGCAGCCCCAACCTTTTAGGTTGTTCAGTGCAATTATAACTTAAATAAATTAAATACAGTATAAGGCAAAATATTTATTTTCATAATTTTTAGTTTCATTTTTTTCCTTTCTTTTCTCTTTCTTTTTTTCTTTTTGGTTAATCCTCACCCTACAATATTTTTTAAAATATATTTTATTGATTTTTTACAGAGAGGAAGGGAGAGGGATAGAGAGTTAGAAACATTGATGAGAGAGAGACATTGATCAGCTGCCTCCTGCACACCTCCTACTGGGGATGTGCCTGCAACCAAGGTACATGCCCTTGACCGGAATCAAACCTGGGACCTTTCAGTCCACAGGCTGACGCTCTATCCACTGAGCCAAACCGGTTAGGGCTACAATATTTTTTTCCATTGATTTTTAGAGAGGGTGGAAGGGAGGGAGGAAGGGGGAGAGAGCGAGAGTGAGAGCAAGAGCAGAGAGAGAGAGAAACATCGATTGGTTGCCTCTTGCATGCGCTCTGACCTGGGCAGGGATCGAACCTGCAACCCAGGTACATGCCTTTGACCAGGAATCAAATCCATGACCCTTTGGTTTGAGGGCGATGCTGTAACCACTGAGCAACATCAGCCAGAGCAGTTTCTTTCTTTTTTTTTTTTTCAAGGTAAAGTCCTCTCCCCCACATTTCCCTGTATTTCTGGTTCCCTCAAGTTGGTGTTGTGCTGGCCCCACAGCCACCCGCCAGTGTGGATGACCCGGTGGTGGGTGTGCCCGGTCAGGAGGGCAGCCCCGCAGGTCTCTGCCATCACAGGAAAGCTGACTAAAGCTGCCAGTGGGGCGTGCGGCAGGCGCCAGGGTCTGAGCTGGCCCGCACTGTCTGTGCAGCCAGTTTTCTTGAGTCCAAGCATAGTGCTGAGCTCTTCCCACTGTGTCTAGTTCTGAGAACAACTCTGTCTGGCAGGTACTTTACGGATGAGGAAACCAAGGCTCAGAAAATGTGGGTGATTTGTTTAAGGTAATTGGGCAAGTAGGTGGCAGAGGTGGGAGGTGGAGCCAGGCTTTCCTTTTGCTGATTCCAAAGCCCCACGGGACTCCGCAGAGCTCGTGATCTGTGCGTCAGTCCTGGTGGGCGGTGCCGTGGTTGAGGGATGCTCAGAGGAGGGAGTGTGATGTGGGACAACTTCCAGAGCCCCCCCTCCCCGCAGCCCCCCCTTCCGTTTCCTGGGTTGGAGGAGTAAGCAGCTCTTTCCTCTGCCCACCCTGGATGGGAATACAGGGCCTCGGGACAGATGCAGGGCTCCTTCACCCCGAGAACTCACAGGCACCCACCAGTTCCAGGCCCCAGCTCCTGGGCTGGGCCCTTCCCTATCTCTGTGACCACAGCATTCCAAAGTGTTCCCATCTATAGACACCGCCTCACCAGGACCGCTGAAACCAGCCCACTCCTTCAGTCATTTCCCCAGCATGTGAGTGACGGGTGGTCAAGCCACCCTGGGCCCCACACACACTGCCGAGTAAAGAAGGAATCCAGGGGCCTCAGGAGTTGATTCAGAGCACCCCGTGAATGGTCCAGTCAACAGAAGGCAGGCTGAACCCTGCTGTCCCTTCCTGTCACCGATGGGCTAGCCCAGCCGTGGGCAAACTACGGCCAGCAGGCCGGATCCGGCCCCTTTGACATGAATAAAACTAAAAAAAAAAAAGACCGTACCCTTTTATGTAATGATGTTTACTTTGAATTTATATTAGTTCACACAAACACTCCATCCATGCTTTTGTTCCGGCCCTCCGGTCCAGTTTAAGAACCCATTGTGGCCCTCGAGTCAAAAAGTTTGCCCACCCCTGGGCTAGCCCCAGGGAGCCACACACAAGCAGATGAGCTGAGGCGGCACACCAGGTCAGGCACAGTGGCCACTTAGAAAAGGAAAAAACAAAACAAAAACAACAAAAAAAACCCCGTGGACTTTGGAGTCACACGGACCTGGGTTTGAATCCTGAAGACTCCTCCACTGGATGTGTGGCCTGGGCAGGCCACTCACCCACTCGGAGCCTCAGCTGCCTGTCTATAAATCGAGGAGGCTGAGCTTTTCCTGCCGGCCATCCTGTGTTGTTTGAAGACTACCCAAGATCCCAAATCTCATATAGTCTGTGAACACTATCAGTTAGGTCTCAGGCAAGCCTGGTTGATGCAGGACCCCAACTCTGATATCCGGGGTCCACACCTGCTCAGGTGCACCAGGAGCTGGTCCCCCATCCCCTCTGTAAACCAGTTCATCCTGGATCTCTTCCCCAGGAAGTGAGCCTCTGAGCTAGCGGGACCAGCTGTGCCTGCAGCCAACCTTCCAGGGACAGGAGCTGCCGGGCTGGGTCATTTCCCTGGTGTCTGCGGACAAGCATCAGGCTCCACTGGGCTGGGTGCCTTGAGCAGGCCACCACCTGGAGGCTGGTCTCCCCCTCCTGCAGCCTCCCTTCACTCATATTGAAGCCTTCTCTCCATTGCTTCCTGAGGGGGCACCAGGACAGGATCCTCGGCCTTTTTGCATTCTAGTCAGATTAAGTCCCCCAACCTGGAAAGTATTCACAATTTTGGGTCCCTAATTCCAATGATGAATAGAGACTAAGAACACAGGTACATATATATGCTCTCAATGACAACCCTCCAGGGGAAATATGCTATAAAAGAGGACATCTTGGCCCTAGCTGATTTGGCTCAGTGGATAGAGTGTTGGCCTGCGAACTGAAGGGTCCCAGGTTCGATTCCGGTCCAGGTCACGTGCTGGGTTGTGGGCTTGATCCCCGGTGGGGGGCGTGCAGGAGGTAGCCGATCAATGATTCTCTCTCATTATTGATGTTTCTATCTCTCTCTCCCTCTCCCTTCCTCTCTGAAATCAATAAAAATATGTTTAAGAAACAACAACAACAAAAACACACACATTACTCTTTAAAAAAAATGAGGACATCTTGGGTCAACTGACAAAATTGGAGTATGAATGGTAAATTGGGTGAAAGTATTGCATCAATGTTCAGTTTACGGGAGTTGGTAACTAAATCCTGGTAATGTTAACAGAATATCCCTACTCTTAGAAAATACTCCATAAAGTATGTAGGAGTAAATGATGTGTACAACTTGCCCTCAAATAGTTCAGAAAGAAATTATGCATATATGTTTACATACATGTTATATACTCATTCATTTATACACTTATAATGTACACACATGAAAAAGAGAGAGGGAAAGAAAGCAAACAAATAATGAGACATGGGGTAAAATGTTGCAATATGAGAATCTGGCTAAAAGGCATATAAATGTTCTTCATACTATTTTCATTTCTGCAACTTTTCTATAAATTTGAATTATTTCAAAATCGTGGAGAGCGGCTACAGTGTTTGGACAGGTTCAAGCCTCGGACTAATGAGAGGGCACAGTCCTCTCATGGCCACGTGCAAGTCCCAGCTTGGAGGACAGAGCCCTCCCAGCACAATTATAGCCAAACAGCTATAGTTGTAAGCTTGAACCTATGGTCGGAACACGTGGCCCCACGTGCCTTAGTGATGTGGGCTTGATAGAGTTCAGGTGCATGTAGTTGAGTAGGAAGGATCAAAACCCACGAGAACATTGTAAACATCTTGACCACGCCCTTACTTTACCTCGTGGAATCTGGCTATGAAATAAAGACACGGCTTGTAGTCCGTGGCACTGTCTCTCTATCCGAGAGGGCAGCGTCCCACTCAGACCCAGCTTTATTCTCTTGTCTGTCTTTTCTAAATCCTTCACCGCCCCCACTCAGGGTCACCCTTGGCCATGCTGGCGCAGCACACAAAATAACGTTGAAAAAAGAGACAACCTCCAAACCTCAATTTTTTTTGCCTTTTCAAGGCAAATGTTATTTGTTTGGGGTTTTCCATTTTAAACCCTCACTTTCTGGGTTCATGTGGAGGCAGAGGCTGATAACACAGTAATACTACGTCTCCAACCAACTCTGCTTAAACTTGGAATCATGTTAGGTCACAAGGGACACCACTCAAAAGGGG